GCAAAATTGAAACATGAAGGAAGATAGATGGCGCCCAACTTCCAAAATACGGCAATGCTAGAAATGGCGCCCAACGTTTCAATAAGAAAGAATAAGAAAATGTTTTGCAGAAAAATATACGTTGCAGGAAATGGCGACCAAGACTCGTGATACCTTATAGGCGAATTATTTGTCAAGAAATCTTTAGAGACAATGTAATTAGGAAGTCTTAATATATTAATACCTATCTTGATGACCTTCTGCATGGTCAGTGTTGGTGGTGAATTTTTGTAGGATAATGCCATTTGTAAATTGGCTCCATATTGTCAGAAACGAATTTGCTCAAAAGAAACATCTGTAAAACACATCTATGTTTCTTTTGAGCAAATTCGTTTCTGACAATATGTCTATATTAGCCATCCTCATTAGCAGCCATAAGGCTGAGGATATAAATATTAAATAGAAAATAGAGATAATTCGATTGAGAACCGTGTCCGAAATCGTAAAAAAAAACAATCAATGTTCTGTTTTTTTTTATATGGGGGCTACTCTAATCTAATCCTCAAAATACCGAAATTTTGGAGTTTCCGATATAGGGGAGCAATTCTGAAACATTATCCAATGAAAATTCAAATGCTTCGGAAAGTACGATTTGAGCCAAATATACACCGTTTTGTTGCATGATTTGTTGCCATTTTAAAGGTAACATTATAATGCCTCTCTCATAAAAGTCCTGTCCTCTATTTGCGCTGCCCTCTATTTGCAAAAAAAAAACTCTAGTAGATTTTCACAATCCTCCCTAGACACCAAATTTTTATCATTAAAGAAATTTCGAAATGCAAGAAAAAGATGAAAGAAGATGATGATCGCTTGCCAAGTCCAAACTATATGGCGGATGTATTAAAAATTCCCAACCATGCTCCTGATGTTTCTGGCGAGTCACTGTAGATGTGGGTGGCCGTTAGTCCTGTTTGATGTACTTTACCGTTCTTTGACCGACTGCTAATATGTCGGGCAACTTCAATCATTTCTCCGATTTTATCGAAATTTTCAATGACCGGATTTCGTTTTCCCCATCCTAATATAATTACAGACAATTTAGTTTAGGTTATTTAAAGCGTATACGTTGTGACAGAACGTATACGCACTATGATAACCCAGCTCATCACGTAGGCTTAATTTAATATCTGTTTATGTCTTTGGGCTTTTTATATGAAACTTCTGTATAATTATACACAGGGCAGATCTTCTACAAATTTCTAGATTTTAAATATATATGGATACAAAAAGTAGATTTTTATAGGATACGAAGATCTTATCGAAGTTATTAGGAAACCGACTAGGGATTGTATATCTCAGGAAGAAGATAATGGGTAAAATTTCGTGTGCAGCCTGAACACAAAATTTTATAACAATATTCGCATTAAAAATATGATATACAATTTTTAATTTAAATCAAATAATAAAAAATATATTTTTATAAACTTTTTATATGGTATAAATTATTTAAAAATGATAAAATAAAAACCAAAAAATGTTTATACAGATATTTTTTAATATGTATATATTTTTTATTATTTATATGATTTAAATGCTTTGCTTATATTTGCTCAGAATAAATTAATAAAATTACAATAATCAATTTATATTTACTTTCAAACTTAACTAATTTGGCTTAAATATATTAATAAAATATTTTATTTTATTTTTTAATTAATTTTAAATTTTAGCTATAAGCGTTTTTATTTTTCATTATTTTCATTTCGAATTAATTGGAATATTTTTTTAGCTAATTTTTTTTAAAGGGCGTAACTTATTATAATTTTTTTATTTTATATTTCAAAATTTTCATAATTTTCAAAATTATTTTTATATAATTTTATAATTTTTTTAATTATTTTTTTAATTATAATCTTTATAAAAGAGGATATATTTTAGCTAAGTTTTAAAATAATGTTAATTATATTTATATATTTTTTTATAAATAAAAATTAAATTAATAAATTATTTTTTTTTTCATAATTGAAATTATTTTTATTATAGTTAAAATTGTCATGTTTTAATATATATATTTTTTTTAATTTGAATTTTTTATATTTTTTTAATTGTGTATATAATGAACATATAATTACTATTTAATTTTTAAAAAATGTAAATCGTTGTAGTTTTTTATATATTAGTTTAATAATATTAAAATAATACATAAAAAAACTACAGCAATAAATTTAATATTTAAAATTTTATTAAAAAAAAAAAGAACATTGAGTAAGGAAAATAGTAAATTCGGACTGGGCCGACTATATGATACCCTTCACCACTCTGGGTACATTCTACATATGTATCCTAAAATACGACGCGTTTTTGTTATATATCTATATCTGAACCGATTTCAGGGAAACTTGTCAGATACTAATTTATATTACATCAGTACGTTGTGTCAATCGGCCTAGCGATGGATCTTTTCACGAAGCTTAGCAACATCATTCTGGACTAAATTCAGTACCCTATACCAAAATTCGTGGAATATAGAGACTTTGGTACACAATTTACCTAAAATCGGACGAAAATATATATGGGAGCTATATCTAAATCTCAACCGATTTTCACGAAACTTAGCACACGTTACTCTAGACTTAATTCAATACGCTATGACAAATTTCGTGCAAATCGAATGATTTTCAGAGACTTTGGATGAAAATATATATGGGAGCTATATCTAAATCTGAACCGATTTTCACAAAATTCAACACACATCATACTAGAACTTATCCATTACGCTGTGCTACATTTCGTGCAAGTCAAAAGATTTCCAGGGACTTTAGTGGACTATTTACCTAAAATCGGGCGAAGTTATATATGGGAGCTATATCTAAATCTGAACCGATATTCACGAAACTTTGCACACATCATTCTAGACTTAATTTAGTACGCTGTGCCAAATTTCGTGCAAATCGAAAGATATATAGGGATTTTAGTGCACCATTTACCTTAAATCGGACAAAAATATATATGGGAGCTATATCTAAATCTGAATCGATTATCACAAAATTTAACACATATCTTCCTAGACTTAATTCAGTACGCTATGCAAAATTTCGTGCAAATCGAATGATATATAGGGACTTTCGTACACAATTTACCTTAAATCGGACGAAGATATATATGGGAGCTATACCTAAATCTGAGCCAATTTTCGCGAAACTTTGCACACATCATTCTAGACCTTATTCATTACGCTGTGCCAAATTTCGTGCAAGTCAAAAGATTTTCAAGGACTTTAGTGGACTATTTACCTAAAATCGGGCGAAATTATATATGGGAGCTATATCTAAATCTGAACCGATTTTCACGAAACTTTGCACACATCATTCTAGACTTAATTTAGTACACTGTGCCAAATTTCGTGCAAATGATTGATTCGAATGATTTTCAGAGACTTTGGTTACCCATTTACCTTAAATCGGACGAATATATATATGGGAGCTATATCTAAATTTGCGCCGATTTCCTCGAAACTTGGCACACGTAATTCTGGACTTAATTCAGTAGCCTATGCAAAATTTCATGCAAATCGGACGAAAATATATATGCGAGCTATATCTAAATCTGAACCGATTTTCAGGAAACTTAACACACATCATTCTAGACCTAATTCATTACGCTGTGCCAAATTTCGTGCAAATCGAATGATATATAGGGACTTTGGTGCACCATTTACCTTAAATCGGACGAAGATACATATGGGAGCTATATCTAAATCTGAACCGATTTTCACGAAACTTGGCAGACATCATTCTAGACTTTATTTATTACGCTGTGCCAAATTTCTTACAAATCGAAAGATATATAGGGACTTTGGTGCACCATTTACATAAAATCGGAGGAAAATATATATCGGAGCTATATCTAAATCTGAACCGATTTTCACGAAATTTGGCACACGTAATTCTGGACTTAATTCAGTAGCCTATGCAAAATTTCATGCAAATCGAAAGATGTATAGGGACTTCGGTGCACCATTTACCTAAAATCGGACGAAGTTATATATGGGAGCTATATCTAAATCTGAACCGATTTTCACGAAACTTTGCACACATCATTCTAGACTTAATTTAGTGGGCTGTGCCAAATTTCGTGCAAATCGAATAATGTATATGGACATTGGTGCACCATTTATATTAAATCGGACGAAAATATATATGGGAGCTATATCTAAATTTGAACCGATTTTTTCCAATTTCAATAGGGGTTGTCCTTGGGCCACATAAGTGACTTGTGCCAAATTTCATCCAATACGGATAATAAATGCGACCTGCACTTTGTTTACAATCTAACATAGACAGACGGACGGACATGCATAAATCGACTCAGAAAGTGATTCTATGCATATTCTCAAAAGGAACCATGGGTCTATCTCGATTATTTTTGCCTGTTACAAACATATGCACAAAGACATAATACCCTGTACCACAGTGTGGTGAAGGGTATAAAAATTATTGAGAAATTAATGGACGGAGATAGAGATAAATTGTGACAATTTTGAAATTTTTTTTGTTAATACCATTTTGTAATTATTTTTTTATTTTATTTTTATATATTTTCGGTTCGTTGTCTATTTTTTTTCGGTTATGGATTTTAATGATTAAATATAGAAATCAATACTAACTAGGGAGATCAAAGAGATAGGCAGTCTCAGGCTATCTAGCCTGGGTCCAACCTTTTTATAAACAAGGACTAGATTACACCAACATGGATGTCCATGAAAAATTATGAGATTTCGAAACAAATGTATCCTTAATTAATAAACCTTATAACTAAACAGTATATTTATTTATATATATATAATAATTATTAAAAATATAAAATTGTTTTGCGATTTAAAGCTTAGATAATTTCAAATGACTGTGACAGGGAGAGGGAGAGAGAGAGAAAGAGACACAATAAAAGTCATTGCACAACAGCAAAGGAATTCCCTTGCCTCCTATCCGACCATCCATCCATAAATCCATCCTCCCCTTGAATTACTTATTACGTTTCAATGTGTTTGCCTCACAATCCTTGGGATCGATATCATCCTCTTCGGCCGTTGGCGGTAATAGTTTTTTCAACTCTGCCTCAGCTTCAGCCACAGTGGCACTGAGTCCTAGAAAAAAGAAAAAACACACACACACAAACACACAACATTAATCATTTTGTCACATTAGAATAATTTTTATCAGCGCCCTCCCTCATACCCCTCCCACATAACCCTCTTTCATACCCCTCCCTTCCTTACACGCCTTCCTTGCTAAACTTACTTCTATCCGTTTTTTGTTTTTCACCACCATCATCGCCACCACTCAGCTCCGCCGTCGCATTGGGTGACCTATCTTTACGTGTTCGACCTGCTACATGGTCATTCTTCGCCTGTTCACACAGACGGAATGCTTCCAAGAATTCATTGAGATCAACCAGCCCGTCTTTGTTCAAATCCATCATTCGGCACATGTCCAACAATTGTTCACGGGTATTTGTGCCAGGTAAATGTTGTTCCAATAAATCACAGGCATCACTGAATTCACTTAGGGATATGTAACCTGAAAAAATGATAAGAAAACCATTACAACAACAACAAAAGAAAATAAATAAATCAATTGAAAACATGGGGCGTATAAGTGGTGACACAATGTATACGCCCCAAACTACAGAAATATTTTTTATTTGTGGACTTTGCTAAACTATTTTGAAGTTCGTTAAAACTTCTTTCCCACATACCCGATTGATCCGAATCCAAAATGTGGAATATTGCCTCCAAGCTACTGACGTTTTTATATAGGGAATCCGCTACGCTGGTTTCTTGTGCTTGAGCTTCAATCTGAAATATAGGGGAAAAATGAAATTAATATAATATGGACACATCTACTACCCGTAGATAATTATCTACGTCTTATAGATTTCATAGATAATTTATCTATTCCTTTTACGTACTGTAAATAAATTATCTACGTTATAGATTCTGCAGATACTTTATCCATGTATTATAGGTGATGTAAATAAGTTATCTACGCCTTGTAGATGCTATAGATAATTTATCTATTCTTTGTAGGTGCTGTATATAAATTATAAACGTCTTGTAGGTGCTGCAGATAAATTATCTGCGGCTTAGAGTGCAGTAGATAAATTATTTGCGGCTTAGAGTGCAGTAGATAAATTATCTGCGGCTTAGAGTGCCGTAGATAAATTATCTACGCCTTGTATGCGCCATAGATAAATTATCTACGCCTTGTTTGTGCCGTAGATAAATAATCTACTCCTTGTAGGTGCTGTAGATAAATTATCTACGGCTTTTAGGTGCTGCAGATACATTATCTACGCCTTGTAAGTGCTTAGAGTGCCGTAGATAAATTATCTATGTCTTATAGGTACTCCAGATAATGTTTATATATTATCTACATCTTGTTAAAAGCAGATTTACATCATCTACGCCTCGAAGATAATTTATTTATGTTATCTACGTCTCGTAGATAAGATTAAGATATTCAGATCAGATCGTAGAAAAAGTATAGACATTAACTACGCCTCGAACGTAAAGTAAAAACTTTATATACGCCACTTAGGTAACGTATTGCCATTATCTAAGCCTCGTAGATAAAGCTTGTATATTATCTACTCCATATATACAATGTATACACATTGTAGATAAGGTTTATATATCATCTACGCATCATAGATATTGTCTACGCCTCATAGATAATGTGTAGTTATTATCTATGAGTCATTGATAATGTGTACTCCCCGTAGATACTGTTCATGTATTATCTATGCCTCAAAGATAATGTCTAAACCTTATAGATAACCCATATACATTATCTTTGCTCGTAGATAATCTATATACATTATCTATGGCCCGTAGATAATTTATATACATTATATACGCCTCGTAGATAAACTATATACATTATCTACGCCTCATAGATAACCTTTATACATTATCTACGTCTTGTAGCTAACGTCTATACATTATCTATGCCTCGTAGATGAAGTCTATAAATTATCTACGCCCCTTAAATAAACATATTCATTATCTACGCCTCATAGATACCATCTATATATTATCTACACCTCGTAGATAACGCCTATCCATTATCTACGCCCCGTAGATAACGTTTACACATTATCTACGCCTCGTAGATAACGTCCATACATTATCTACGCCTCGTAGATAACGTCTATACATTATATAGGCTTCGTAGATAACGTCTATACATTATATAGGCTTCGTAGATAACGTCTATACATTATATAGGCTTCGTAGATAACGTCTATACATTATCTACGCCTCGTAGATAACGTCCATACATTATCTACGCCTCGTAGATAACGTCTATACATTATCTACGCCTCGTAGATAACGTCTATACATTATCTACGCCTCGTAGATAACGTCTATATATTATCTACGCCTCGTAGATAATCTCTATACATTATCTACGCCTTGTAGATAACGGGTAGACATTACCTACGCCTCGTACATAACGTCTAGACATTATCTACGCCTCGTAGATAACGTCTATAAATTATCGACGCCTCGTAGATAACGTCTATAAATTATCTACGCCTCGTAGATAACGTCTATAAGTAATCTACGCTTCCTAGATAATGTATAAACATTATCTAAGCATCATAGATAATGTAGAGATCTACGCCACATTGGTAACGACATATATACTTTATCTACGGCTCGTAGATAATGTATCTAGGCTCGTATTTTATTTTTCTTGTTGATATAATTATCTAGATAATTTTTTTACTCACTATAGTATCCGTATCTAGTAAATCTAACGTTGTCAAATAGTTAACTTCATTTGTGGATCGCTCATCCGTCGATGGGGCCAGGCGTGGCCTTAGCAAACGCCAGGGCAGACCCAAATTGGTGGCCTTCTCCATGGCATCACACCAATGGGAAACGGAAATGTAGCCTAGGAAAAGATGGGAAATGTTAAAAAATATATCATACTTAAGTAGCTACCCTTTACCTCTATTATTGGGATCATTCTTCCGGAACTCCTCTTCCAATTCATTACGTTTGGCCCTCAGCCTTGCCCCCAACTCTCTGATGGCAGAACTCTCCACAATGCCAACCCTTTGGCGGAATGTTAATTGACGTGTTTTCGAGGCCGCCGATATATACTGTACAAAGTGAGGTTCCAAATGGGGATTCAACTTCATATAGGCACCTCGATTCGAACCAATGGCATAGTAGTTCGATGCGGAAAATATGGTCACCACCTTGTCGTCATGCAGAAATTCATAGCCATCTACTTTGCATTCATGCGAACGTACCAGCAACTCAAGTTTGTGTTGCTCGAGGAAGTTTCGGGTAACATCCGGGCCGAAATAGGTACCAGCACCCCGCAGACTATTGGGTAGGCAACCATCATTGTGTTGCGGATCACTCCACATTATATCGAAGAGCTATAAAGAAATAACATTAAGGAGGAGGACATTAAAATCGGAATGATTATTTTTTTAATAGCAGAAGGGGTGGGGGAGCACGAGTTGCTCCTTTAATTAAGAGAGTGGGGAGTTCGGATGAGTAGAACCACCCTCATAATTAGTTTTTGATAGCCTCCAGAATAATTGCCAAACATTTTTATGGGCCCATCAAGGCCACAAAAAAATGTATTGGTTATAAAGCACCCACCACTCATTATTATTAGCATCAATGTTAGGAAAATATTTCCAGTCTTTCTTTGCTTCCTCTTCCTTATCTCCTGCACATCCTCAAGGTGCCTGGAGTGTCAGGACTTTTTTTGAAAAGCTGTTAAATTTTTATTTAAGCCCCATAAAAGAAAATAAACAACCTATTTGCCCCCACCCTATATTGTTTTTAGTTCGAGGCAGTACCACTCCCATCCATCCACCACCTCTCTTCTCTTCACCACCCCCATCCGATTCCCTCACCCACTTAGTAGGGGGAGTACAGAAATCTTAAAAAGCCATTTGCTTGTTTACATCTTCTATTCTCGTTTCGAACAAAAATCTATAAAAATCATAACTTTATGGTATCTGTACGCACACACACACACACCCAAACACAAAGCCACATGCATCCCCAGCAACACAGATAATCGCTGCGGAACATGAAAGGTCTTCACTGCGTCTACGTGATTTAATTTCCTTGTAATTTATTCATGTCACTCATACGACGTGTGAGACTGACGGCGTGCCACCATCACCAATGTTGATGATGGTGTTTGTTTTTTTTTTATAGGGCTCGCGGTCGTGTGGCCTCAGGACATAAGCGAGAAAGAAAACGGGAGGGTAGGTTGGGTTAGTCTATAAAGGACACCACTAGGGTTCAACTGCTCGGCATGCCGGCTGTATTGGAAGCTGTGAGAGACACAGCAATTACAATTTAATTACTTTTCAATACGCTAACGGCAGAGGTGGGCAAACAACAGCAGAGATGGGCAATGGGAATATGGTGTGGTTTTTGAAAAAATATTTTTTCTAGGACCTATATATGGAGTGGATTTAACGAAACATAAGGGGTGGTTTAAAAAAAAATTCAAGGACCGACATACTTAGCTGGCTTGTAACAGAACTTTCGTTCCATAAGCCGAGCTTAGAAAAGATTTCCAGGCGCGTCGGTCTTTTGCGCAGTTTTTCCCATTTGAAAGACTATTTTCGGCAATGTTCGATCCTTTATCGTATTCGTGGACCTCCCCTTCTGCGTGAAGCATCAGCTGGTTCGCTTTTATATGCCTTCTGGGCTGGGTCATCTTCATCCATTCTCACAACATAACATAGCCAACGTAATCGCTGCAACTCAATACGTCTAACAATGTCGATGTCCGAGAATAGCTGGTACAACTCATGGTTCATGTGACGGCGATATTCACCGTCAACGCAGATCGGCCCATACATCTTTCAGAGAATTTTTCTCTCAAACACTCCAATAGCTGCCTCATCTACTTGCGTAAGTACCAATGCTTCAGCTCCATATAAAAGCACGGCCAGTAGTACCAATTTGGTCTGGTGTCCTTGCTTTTGAGTTGTTTGCTCAGACCATAGTAGCATCGGTTGGCCATCACTATCCATCTCCGAATATCAAAACTGATGTCATTTGTTTTATTAATGGCGGTACCAAGGTATATAAAATCTTTGACTACCTCGAAGCTGTAGTTCTTAAGTTCCACAGTTGGTCCGAGTCTACTAGATGTCTTGCACGTTGATACCATCAGCTTGGTATTATCGCCGTTTACTGCCAGACCCACTTTGGCAGACTCCTTCTCAATTTGTGTAAATGTGGCTGTTACCGCTCGCAATGTTCGGTCCATTATATCGATGTCATCGGCTCGTATGACCTTTTCCAGCAGGACGTTAAAAAGATCACACGACAAACTGTCACCTTGTCTGAATCCTCGTTCGGTATTAAAGAGCTCCGAGAGGTCCTTTCCGACTTTAACTGCTGACTTTGTGCCACTTAAAGTTATCCTGCATGGGCAAATTAATTTTGCAGGCATGCCGAACGCAGTTATGGCTTTAAATACCTCTGAACGGATAGGGCTGTCGAATGCGGCTTTATAGTCGACGAATAGGTGGTTTTCGATGTGTTTTTCGTGGGTTTTTTCCACGATTTTGCGCAGAGTAAAATTACGGTCAATTGTGGATCTGCCAGGTCTGAAGCCGCATTGGTATGGTCCAATAATGTCATTGACTATTGGCTTCAGTCCTTGGCACATACACCGGATAACACTTTATATGCGATGGGAAGAAGGCTAATTCCTCTATAGTTGGCACATATCGTTTTGTCTCCTTTTCTGGGCACGCGACACGGGATGCTGAGGTTTCAATCATTGGGCATGCATTCTTCTAGCCAAACTGTACTAATCAGCTGGTGCATGCTCCTGATCAGCATCTGAACACCAGTCTTGAATAAAATCGGCTTGTAACCCATCGGCTTCTGTTGCTTTATTGTTCTTCAGCCGATTAATTGCTTTTATGACCTCATCTTTGCTAGGTGGTATACACTCTATACCATCATCTCTTATTGGTTCTGGGGTATCTTCTTCTTCACCGCCACTATTTGATACCAGAAGCTTTTCAAAATGATCCTTCCAGATCCTTAACACGCTGTCTGTATCTGTCACCAGGTTTCCTTCTTCATCTCTACAGGAGGATGTGCCTGCATCGAAGCCTTCGGTTTGGTGTTTTACCCGTTGGGAGAATTTTCGGACTTCATTCTGACTCCTGTACATCTCGATTTGCTCACGCTCACGTTTTTCTTGTTCTTCCTTCTTTTTTCTGAAAACACGTTTTTCCTCTCTCCCCTTTCTCCCGATTGTTCTCCATCACATTATGTGTTGCTACTGTCTGCAGGATTGCCCTATACGCTGCGTTTTTCACCTTGATCGTACCATGGGTTTCTTGATGGTGGTTTTTGGTACCCAAGTGTTGCTTTTGCTGCAGTTTGTAAGGAGTGGACAATTCTCTGCCATTTTGCTTCTATATTATTATCGGGACAAGAAGTGCTTTCGTCAAGCAGGTGGGTAAGTTGAGCGGAGTAAACCTCGGCTAACTGTTGTGTTTGCAGCTTTTCGACGTCCGTGTTACATTAGATCGCTCCTTTGCTGCTACATTAAGACGAGTGCGAACCTTGGCTGCCACAAGGTAGTGGTCCGAATCGATATTCGCTCCTCGGATCGATCGAACGTCTAAATACACTGGATGAATGTCTCCCATCTATCACAATATGATTAATTTGATTTCTCGTTGCTTGATCAGGAGAAATCCAGGTGGCCTTGTGTAGATCGGGATGCTTGAATCTGGTGCTGCTAACTACCATGTTTATGGCTGCCGCGAAGTGGATCAACCTCATGCCGTTGTCGGATGTTTCTTCGTGGAGGCTGAAAATATTTTCCCTTTTGATTTTTGTATTAAAATCTCCTAGTAGAATTTTAATATCATAGCTAGGGCAGCAGTCATATGCAGTTTCTAAGCGCGCGTAATATATGTCTTTGGTCCGTTCATCTTTGTGATGTAGAAGAACTTCGCTTTTATACGGATTATAGCAATTCGCTCATCTAGAGGAGTGAATCTGGAGATAAGGTCTTTTATTCTCCTATTAACCATAAATCCGCAACCAAATTCATGTATCGGTTCATGGCAGCTGTAATATAGTGCGTAATCGTCTGATTTACTTACGCCTGTCCATTTCCATCGCATTTTCTGCTTATAGTTCTTGAGAACATCCGGCAAAGCGAAAACTGCGCCTTTGCTGTGCAACGAGCGCACAGAGCCTTTTGTAAGTCCCCATAAAAATAATTTTTAAAAAATCCACGCCTTATTTATAAGTCCAAAAAAAAAAAAATGAAATCCACCCTGTTTGAAGCCAAAGTCCTCTATACATATTTATACATGGTTGCGTATGACTACTGACAACACGTATACGTCACCAGAACATTACTAAAATGTTTATTTAGACAGCAATTTAAAGCCCCTACCCCTTTCAAGTTATTGCACCATGTTCTACTGTTTAATTCCACCCTTGTTGCAGGTTAGTTTCCCCCTGATTTCAAAACAAAATTTTTTCCAAAATTCTTGTCAAATCAATTGCCCTTTTTAGTAGTCGGAAAATTGCCAATGCCAAGCAGTCATGTTTGTGTGAGTAGAATATTTCAAAGGGAGAGGGAGAGAAAGCGATAAGACTCGGCAAATGAAATTTATTGCTTCCTCTTTGACTGAGTGGGTGCCGAATGCTAAAAATGCAACAAATTTCTGCTCTAGGATAAACTTTCAAATGGCCATAAAACTTTAAATGAACTTTGGATATGTCGTTTGTTAAGCAGATAGCAAATGGAGCTACCAGTAAGGAACCTCTGGAACTCATGTAAATGTGTATGTGATTGACATTTGTCAAATTTGAGAAAGAACCCAGAACAATGAAATCAAATCAATTTCCAAAAACCAGATAACAAGACATCTTCATTAGTCCCTTTGATGTCGCAAAGGGTTGATTGCTGGAGATTTGCTGGACGCAATTAAGTTTCGGACGGTTTTTTGATTTCATTTGCAAGAGATGAAAAATTGTCTACCAAAGAAAGTTATGAGTTCGTTGGAATAATTACGAATTTAATTGCAGTTCATTGGGGTGCGGGGGAGCGTATAAGTGTTGTCAGCAATCATACGCCATGGGGGGTTAGCTCATGTGTACTACAGGTTTATAAGGCGTATGAGTATTGTCGTTACTTATACGCCACATACTTCTTTATATAATATGTCGATTTTTGAGAAATTGAATTTAAACAGGATCTGCTACTCCTTGATTCAAATTTTCCACAATTTAAATTCATATTTTTCTGATTCCCTTTGCCGGCTCACAATATTTTTTTAAAAATTCTTCTCAACAACTTTCCATCACCTGAAAAATTGTCTTCGAAGAAAGTTATGAGCTCCTTGAATAATTACGA